TCTGTGTCTCTCCGCATCACCGTAGCGCCATTTTGGAGAATATCCACTGAACGCAAGCAGCGTACGCTCTTCTGTGTCAGCCGCGACACAAGGATGTGCTGTTTTCATTCAAATCAAAGTGTAAATACTCTTAGAAAATGTATCCTTGTGTCACGGCTGACACGGAAGAGCGTACGGTGCTTGCGTTCAGTGGATATTCTCCAAAATGGCGCTACGGTGATGCGGAGAGATACAAAATACAAAAAGTATTCTTGTCGCTTCATAACGTTACGGTTGAACCTCTGATGGCAGATGGACTATTCTGACGATGTCTTTCATACTTTTCTGGACCTTGACAGTGTAATTTACTTGGCAGTCAATGGGACAGTCACAAGCCTCCCGGTTTTCATCCAAAATAAACTTGATAGCAGACAACTTAAATTGTGTTCCGAAGACGAACAAAGTTTTTACGGGTTTGGAACGACATGGGGGTAGGTGATTAATGACACAATTTTCATTTTGGGGTGGAGTAACCCTGCAAGGAACACAATCTGTTGTATCAGCGACACTTTAAAGTTGGACGTCTAACCAATCTCCATTACTTTAATTCATTTTCTAAAAAATAGGTTAACGTTTTTATAGCTCTGCTCCCAACCACTAGAATATAGAAATAACGTTTACTGTACCTTTTAATAACACTGCAAAAAAGTGACGTTCATCATCAGTATTTTAGTCTTGTTTTCCAGTGCAGATGTCTAAAGATTCATTAAAGGGGTCATATGATGTTGCTAAAAATAACATTATTTGGTGTAGTGCAATGTGTTTACGTGGTTTAAGGTTAAAAAAAAACATTATTTTCCACATACTGTACATTATTGTTGCTCCTTTTTCCCCCACTTTCTGAAACATGTCGATTTTTACAAAGCTCTTCGGGCGGAAAAGTGAGGTGTTCTCTGATTGGCCAGCTATCCAGTGCGTTGTGATTGGCCGAATACCTCAAGCGTGTGATGGAAATGTTACGCCCCTTACCAGGATCAGTAAACAGTCCTCCATAGAAATGTGCTGCACACATCTGAATATTTGGGTTGAACTGTTCTGGAACAGTGTTGTAAATACAACTTAACCACTGATTTCTAGTCGTGTCCATTTTTGGAAGACCAAACAAAGTAGTTTGGTTTTCGCAACAAAACACACAGCGTCTCCACGACATGGCGGCGGCGACAGCAACAATACTACAGCAAGAATCAAAGTTACGCCGCCTTTCTTTGCGTATACATTTGGGCGGTGTTATGCAAATCTTCCCACACAGTGACGTAGATATGTGGGGGCGTGTTAGAATGAGCTGTTTTAGGAAGGCATGGATGAGCGTTCACTTTTATAAAGAAATTCTTTGTGTTTGAGACTTTAATCTTTGCAACTTTACAGATCTTCTGTATGCACTAACAGCTTTTAAAGGGGTCATATGATGCAAATTAAATTTGTAAACTTTGGAGTGTTACAAGCGCTTGGTTTATAAAGAAGATCTCTAAAGTTGCAAAGACTAAAGTCTCAAATCCAAAGAGATATTCTTTATAAAAGTTAAGAGTCAACCACCCCTACCTAAAATGGCTCGTTCTAACACGCAGTGTTGGGGAGTAACTAGTTACATGTAACGGCGTTACGCAATTTAATTACAAAATAAATGTAACTGTAATCAGTTTGCATAATGCTGCCCAAATGTTCACGCAACGAAAGAAGGCGTAACTTTTATTCTGGCTGTTGCTGCCACTGCCATGTGGTGGAGTCGCTTTGTGTTTTGTTGTGAAAGCGAAACTACTTTGTTTGGTCTTCCAAAAGAGGACACGACTAGAAATCAGTGCTTAAGTTGTATTTACAACAGTGTTCCAGAACACTTCAACCCAAATATTCAGATGTGTGCTGCGCATTTTATGGAGGACGTTTCCTGAACCAGTAGCCTAATGTGTCTGTTGCACAAAGGCTGTTTCTATAAAGTTGGGCAGTTCCATCTTTGCAAGGACAGTCTGGCGCTTTTGATTCACAGCCTGTAAGTACGTTTTTGATATTTAAAGAATTTGTCACTGATGATTCAAACGCGAGTTTTGAGCAGTGTAGAGTAGCGCTTGTTGTTTGTTGTTTCTCCGATCACAAATGCAGACATGGTTTTATGTTTACGCAGCGCGATACGCAACGCAACGCTTAAAAAACAAAACCGTATAAGTCATTATAATCAGTAATTATGTCCCCACTGGATGCAATAAATGCCTAATTTGTAATGGGTTTTATTGGCTTTGTCTCGTCCTGCTGGGAGACGTCATCACAATATGGTAAGGGGCGTAACATTTCCGTCACACGATTGAGGCATTCGGCCAATCACAACGCACTGGATAGCTGGCCAATCACAGCACACCTCGCTTTTTCAGACCGATGAGCTTTGTAAAAATCGACGCGTTTATGCGTTTCAGGGCATAGAGGAGCAACAATAATGTACATTATATGTAAAATAATGTGTTTTTTTAACCTTAAACCACATAACCACATAAGCATTACACCAAAAACACAAAATAATGTTCTTTTTAGCACCATCATATGACCCCTTTAACACTCCAAAGACAAAGGAAAACATGAAATCGTGTCATATAACCCCTTTAAATCAAGACACATTTACTTAACAAGTAAAATGGCATAAGATATGAAGTCTTGTTTTCTGTGAAACTGATCAAAATAAAGTGAATTTATTATTAAAAATGAACTAATATCTGTCAGTGGGCTCAGAAAAATCTACTCACTTATAAACATTTATAAGTATAAACGTATTTAATTTTTTTCTTTTTCATTTTTTTTCTGTACAACATCAAAATGTAAAAAGGTGATTTGCTTTTGAAACAACTTCTCAGTTGATGTCACCAAGCCCTCTTGTTTGCTGTATTACAGTTCAGTGCAGCAGGAGAGATCAGATTCACCAGAGCCCAGCTGTGTGTCCATGAAGAGTGACTGCTCTATGGATCCTCCTCCCAAATTAAAGGGTGGAGACACACGGCCGAATCTCAGGTGTTACTTTTCATTTCAGAATGTACTAAACATGTAACACTTTGTAATTTGAGTATTGCTTTTATTAATACATTTTATAAAGGTAAATTAAGGTACATTTAAGACTTTTTAAAGACTTTTAAAAAGGAAATTTAAGGAACACAATCTGTTGTATCAGCGACACTTTAAAGTTGGAAAATAGAACTTCTAACCAATCTCCATTACTTTTTAATTCATTTTCTAAAAAATAGGTTAAAGTTTGTATAGCTCTGCTCCCAACCACTAGAATATAGAAATAACGTTTACTGAACCTTCTGAAAACAATGCAAAAAAGTGACGTTCTTCATCAGTATTTTAGTCGTGTTCCAGTGCAGCTGTCTAAAGATTCTTAAATCAAGATACATTTACTTGAGAAGAAAATGGCATAAGCAGACCTGCCAACCTGTACGTATTTTGCGTAGCGGATACGCATTTTGACCTCAAAGTACGCTGGTACGATTTGTCACTCTAAACTACGCAAAAAACCTGCTGTCCACGTGCAGTATTCAAAACAAGCAACAGAAAAAGATGAAGAGTTCAACCAGTCAGAGCGTTTTTTTAGGTTTTGCTTTTAAATTTCCATGCGTTTTATTTCTCTCCAAGCTGGCTCTGTGTAATGACTAAACCTTTTGTCCAACAACAAAAAAGAACATTATAACATTCTTTTACTACACAACATCAGACAAATATTTAAAATAATTTCCCTCTTGATCTGATGTGGCTTCTTATCACAGAATGATGCAGAAATCAATTCTACACTGGAATAACGGCTAAGTCGATTAGCAGTGGACTATAAATATAACATTACTTAATTATTAAAATACTCGAGGTGGTTTTAAGAACACAGATAAACATTTTTCAGGGATTAAAGTTCTCCGTCGCTACGACGGATTTCCGTTAATTGCAGCGAGTCTGCGACGGATTTCTGTCAATTGGAAAAAATGAGGGGAAAAGAAACATGTTGTTGTTGTTGTTGTTGTTGTTCTGCCAGCACACCAAAAATCATCCCCGTCACGGCTGTATGGCGTTATTTTAATGACAAATGTCGAGAGCGCATTATTGTAGCGCGAAAGCACATTAATATAATGCTCTCGCACAAAACCGGACGTGCGCACTCAGATACACGCTGCTCTCGCCCAGAGTGTGCTCGCACTTAAAACGTGTCTCTCCTCTCACTCAAACTGTGTCCTGTGCACTCACAAATCTCTCTGTGCTCATGCGCTACAGATATTAATTATTTTCGCACCTGAATTAAACGTTGTCAAAAGTTATCATTGTGCACTTTTAAAAAGTAGCCTAGTCTCAAAACAGATTTGTGGACACAGTTTGAGTGTCCTGCAGAGTTTAGCTCCAACTTGCCTCAACACACCTGACTGGAAGTTCTATGACTAGTAAGAGCTTGATTAGCTGGTTCAGGTGTGTTTAATTAGGGTTGGAGCTAAACTCTGCAGGACACCGGCCCTCCAGGACCGAGTTTGGACAGGCCTGTTTTAACCCAACAAGTTGTGTTATTATGTCTGACCCAGCATGCTGGGTTGCTTTTTTATGGTTTAAAATTACTACACTGCTAGGCTAAAATTAACCCAAAGCTAGACATTAAACCTACAAATCTTGTTCATTTTAAAATCACTTTTACACACACAGAATGACTATCAAAAAGTAAATATTTATTTAAAACAAGAGAAAACAGTCAAAAGTAACATGCATGTAAGAAGAAATGCAGAAAAGTATGGCATTGACAACTACAGAGTTTATAAATGAAGCATTGGACATTTGTTGAATATAACTTTTAAGATCAAATTGGACTTTTTTGGTAAATTTTATAAATTGTATAAAAATATTATACAAAAACACTTATACAATAGTTGTACAATTAGTTAATAGTTAAGTTCTTTATAAACTATTCTGGCATGACAGTAAATAAACCACAACATTAACACTGATATTATAACATTTATCAGAAACGTGTGAAAGAATGCGAGCATGTGTATGAATGAGTGTAAACTCCATTTCTACTAAACAGCAACACAGAACAAGCATTTAACATTGTTTTTTTTTTTTTTTTTTTTTACAAATTATACACTTACAGTTTGTTTCATAGTCCATGAATACAGATCAGGCATCGCTGCCAATTTCCATGATCTCTTTAGCATAATTGATGACGTTATGAAGAAGCCCCATCAGCTCAGCAAAGGCATGTGACATCTTTTACATTATTCAGGGCAGCCTCCTCCTTTTAAACCACTGTTGCATCAGTTTGGGGGAAAGGACATTCTCCTCTTTGACCAGCATTCATCCCAGTCACCACCTGTTCTTCATCAGTGGCCTAAAAAGAGAAAATCATTTGAAAAAAAGAAAACCTTTAAAATCTATCCATTTTCAGATAGAGGTGCATCCACATCAGTAAGGATAGGTAAATAGACTTGTTTTATAATTTCAGCCACTTTGTGTGGTTGTTTAATGTATCTGTAATTGCAGCACTACTGTGAAGGCATGTAATGTTTAAATAAATATATTGCTTTCAGAAAGCTATTCTTTACTGAAACATTAAAACAGACATGACATTCACATACCTCACAAATTTTCATGTACATGGAGGGCTGCTCTTTAAAGGGTTAGTCCACAAAAAAATGAAAATGGTCATAATTTATTCTGCTCCGTGTTGTTCCAAACCCATACAAACTCTGCTTTGAGTTCTGCTAGGAAAAACACAGACATCAATGGTTTACATAAAATATTAACACACAATCATACTGTTGTTGCATCAAAATGTGAGGTAAACAGGCAGGAGACAACAGAAACATTTATTTTCTAAAAATAACTCCTCAATCTCAAAAAAATGATGCTCTCCTATGCCTCTGGCTGTCAACATCTACAAAAACAAACATTATTTTACTCTTAGTAAAAAAAAACTGATAACATGATGGAATTATGAACTTTACTTGCGTTAACCGTCTTTCCCTCTCTTCTGAAGAAGCTGAGAAAATCGCCTTCTCACACATGCAGGGTTCTGTGTCGTTAACTCCCGGCGTGGGCACAATGAAGACACAAAGCTCAACATGTCTGAAATATAACATGCAAAACAATACTTTTAACAATTATCACTTCATCAGCCTCAAAATAATTAGGCTAGTCTTTATTACATCCAGGGGCGGACTTACCCATTAGGCAAAGGTAGGCGACCGCCTTGGGCCCCCAAAAGCCAAGGGCCCCCTAAAATGCTTTTCATATAGGATATGCGCATTAAACGTGGACACGTGAACGTTTGCTGTTTATGGTGTTTATTACCATGACAACCGTCCGAGTCCGTGGCGCCTGCAGGTGTACGGCACTGTGAGTACCATGAGCGCTCAGACTGACCTCAGATTTGCCCCGCAAACATTTCAGCAGTTATAGGCCTGTGTGTCCCGTATTTCTGTTGACTGAACCAGCCATGCCACTAATTATGAATTTATCAGTCTTTTGCATGCCAAAGTCAATTTCTGCATAGAAATATGCCAAATAGAAGCAGAAAATCGTGCTATACGCACTTTCATGAGATCGGGTTAGCCTACAACAATGAATTTGTTGGCTATTTTACAAATGGGAATACAACGAATTCATGACAATGTTTATATTCATGCTACCCGTAAAATTTATAGTGAAAAGTACTTTAAAAACATCTGTAATGCAATAAAGTAATTTTAAAGATGTTTTTTAAAGCATTTGCTGCATGGATAAAAAATATAAATAATTAACATATCATACAGAATTGCATTGCAGCAAATCCTTTAAATTTTAAGGTATTCAGAACAGAGCAACATA